GGGGGTATTGTAAACTTATATAAAGATATTATAATATTTGCATATTTTCAATGTTTTAATTGCTTTTTGTTTCATAGAAAACCGGAGTGAATCAATATAAAGCTCAATTTCTTTTCTAAATAAAATAAAATTAGGTTTTTTACAGGAGAATTTGCATTTATGAATATAAAATTTTGCCATTAATAAAATGAAATTAATTAAATAATTCTGATTGTGCTTAATTCTACTGTTCTCCCAAATACCAAATAAAATATGTTTCCAAAACAACATAAATTGGTCATCAATGTTTTTTGTGATAAAATCACAGACACTTTGCCAAAATGGTTTTACAAATAGGCAATGCCAAAATAAGTGAACCACAGTTTCAGGGCAGCTGTCACAAAATGTACAATTAACATCAATATCAGATTTAAATTTTACAAAGTACTGTTTTACAGGATATATTCTATGTATCAATTTGTATGATACCTCCTTAACTTTGTTTGTAATTAAATATTGATTAGGTATAAGCCAAACCTTTTTCCACACAATACCTTCTGTAAAACGATTCCAGTATGAGTAAATATAAGGCAAAGACACATAATTTCTTTGAAATAATTCTCTTATAGTTCTGTTCCTTGCGTTAAGGGAAAAACAAATATTACCTACATAAGTACTTACTACAGAAGGTGGGGACAATTGTTGAGTATTAATTCTTTTTTGAAATTTAAACAGCATACAGATTTCAGGAGAGATTGCTCCAAACACTTTTACATATTCCCCTGGTGTTACAGGAATCTTATATTGGGCCAAAAACTCTGTGTAAGTAAAAAGAAAACCCTTTGAATTAAATAACTGATCTACTAATATGATGCCATTATCAAACCAATGTTTCAAAAATAATGATTTGTGCTTATATAATATATCTCTGTTGTTCCATATATAATACTTATGTGGTGAAAAATTGTGTTTGAAAATCAATGACCATGATAAAAAGGCCTGGCGATGAAATTCTGAAAGCTTTACTGGTACTTTATCAATATTATAATTACAGCTAAGAAAGAAATGTATATTACCAAGATTAGAAAAAAATATGGGAGGGTATAAAGTTCCAAATTGAATAAGGGTTTCTTACAATCTGTCGAAGCCAATTAACTTTAAATGTATTATTTAACATTTCAAAATCCAAAACATTTAGGCCACCATTTTCATATAGATTAGTTATAACTGTTTTCTTTATGTAATGTATTTTGTTTTTCCAGATAATAGTAATAGTCAAATAGTATTTTATCTATTTCTTTGCATATTTTTTTATTAAGATGCAAAGCCATTGCTGCATAAGTCAGTCTAGAAATTCCCTCTGCCTTTGTAATTAAAACTCTGCCCCTTAAAGAGAGATCTCTCATAAGCCAGTGGTTTAATTTCCTTTTAGTCATTTCAATAATAGGATTAAAGTTTAATAAACACCTTCTTTTCTGATCTTTAGTAATGCTTATTCCTAGATACTGAACCTCAGATTTTAAGGGAATACCATTATAAGATGCTTCTGAACATTCCTTAATGGCCATAAGCTCACATTTAGCCACGTTCAAGTAGACACCAGATGCCCTTGAAAAGTCACATATTAATTCAGTAGCCACTACGATCTGGTCTTCGTTTTGAATGAAGAGCGTAGTGTCATCTGCCAATTGGGTAATTTTGATCTCTCTATCAAATACAGTGATACCTTTCATTGGACTTGATTTAATATGAGAAGAAAGAAGTTGACTCACTAATAGAAAGAGGTATGGAGAGACAGGGCACCCTTGCCTAATTCCTCTAGTAATATCGAATCTGGGGGAAGTACCATTTAGTAATTTGATAGAACAGTTTCCTCTGTTATAAAGGGTTTTAATTGCTGTAGAAAAAAAAATACCAAAATCAAATTTCCTAAGCGTGTCAAAGATGAACTGATGCTCTACCGAGTCGAATGCTTTATAAAAGTCTAAGAATAATATAAACCCATTATCCTTAATCAATTCTGGATAGTCCAGGATATCCAACACTAATCTTACATTATTCGTTATATGTCGATTTTTCATGAATCCCGATTGTGATTCATCAATTACGGAATCCAAAACTTTTTTTAATCTTCTAGCTAAAATTAGGGCCAGTAATTTATAATCATTGTTTAATAAACAAATCGGGCGCCAATTATCAATATATAGTTTGTCTTTTTTTGGTTTAGGGAGCAATGTAATTAAACCTTGTGTTAGAGTTGGTGGAAGAAACTGTCTCTCAATGCTTTCAGCAAATACTTCTACAAGAAAAGGAGCCAATTCTTTGGAGAATAGTTTAAATAATTCAGATGTCAAACCATCAGTACCTGGTGATTTGGAATTTTTCAGATGACTAATTGCTTCCAACAATTCAGATATTGTAATAGGTTTATCACAAGATTCCCTTTCATGTTTCTCAATGGGTTTAATTTGCAATGAATTTAAGAAGGCATCAGCAGTCACCTGAGAGTAACTAGAGGTATATAAATTCTTATAAAATTCACTACAGTACTGAGAAATTACTGTATGATCATCCGTTGTAACCCCATTAATGTTTAACTTATTAATAGTGTTAGTAACAAAATTCCGCCTTTCTAAACTGAAAAAATAATGTGAGTTTTGTTCCCCTTCCTCAAGCCACTTTCTTTTAGAACGAATAAAGGCACCCTCTACTTTTTTCTTATACATATCATCTAATTTACTTGTTAGGTCAGCCATTTCTAATTTTTCGTCCTCTAGAAGAGAATCTGGATGTTTCTGAGACAAATTTGTTATTCTCGTTATTATTTTAGTTTCTTCAGATCTTTTACTTTTGGCCACAAATGAACCATATTTTCTCATATATTTGCCAATTTCAAATTTTAAAAGTTCCCAATTTGTACTGAAGGCATTTTCCATCTTGGCTTTTGTCCAATGGCTAGAAATTAAATCTTTAACTTTCTTTTGGACCTCCTTATGCAGCAGAAGGGAATTATTAAGTTTCCAATATGAAGAATTAAGATTATATATTTTATGAGACAGCTTCACTTTTATATAAATAGCTCTGTGATCTGTTAATGGAGTGGGTAAAATATCTCGGGGGAGAGCAACTGCGCGCGACTGCAGAATCCGACAGGTGCGCCTTGCGCTCGCGAGAGTTTTTTGACATACGTCGACATGACATCAGAGCCAGGCGGACCGTTCTCGGACACATTTCTAACCGGCATGCATCTCGCGCTGATCACCGGTGATCGGTTCTGCGCAGATTTTGCTCATCTCAAACAAGCCTATTAGCTCAGAGAAAATGGAAGAGAAGCTAATCATCGCCATTGCTGTGTTTCCTACTGGTTTCGTATTATTTATGACATGACATTGTTTGCTTATAGGGGCCGCATGAGCGCAACTTTTATTTGGAATATTTACGAACGCTCGTTTTAAAGCGGGAATGCAATTCATTTGCTCACACCGATTTGACCTCAACAATAATAATAATAGCTATTCAAGCAAATTTGTCATTGTTATTTTGCTTAATGTGAAAAGATAAATCATTCTGTACGAAATTAAACTATTACACTGTAAAAAAATATTTTTTGTACTTAATATTTTAAGTTCATTGAAATAAAAAAAATGTTAATACAATGGAGATTGTAATCAACAGAAACTCAAAATATTATGTTATCTGAACCACATAAATTATCGAAGTTGATTTGAAAAAGAAGAAATGTTGTGATTAAAAAAATCATGAAAATATTTTTTTTTTACAATTTTACAAATTTTAACATTTTTTGTGTACAATTTAAAGATGCTTATCATGACGTCCATATATGGTGCTATATTATTTGAGACCTTTTTCTATGAAAACAGTATTTGTGAAAAGCCATCATCAGTATACAAAGTATTAACATATGCATTTGATATAAATGTGCAGGGTTTTATGAGCATGCTTTCCCCTGTGCAAATGAAAGCTGAAAACCCATGATAACGTCTGCACCTGATGCTGTTTTGTCAAACCACAATATTATAAAAATCTGACTGGAGTCAGTTTTCGTTCCTCTGAAGAAGTTTGTAATTGTCATTTCCTCTTTCAAAATCACAAACTGAACCACAAACACACACACACACACATGCACAGAGAAAGAGCCTCGTGATTTATTCATGGAAACTTAAAGGGCTCAAATCATATTTTTAGAATTGTATTTTATTCACTATGTATTTTTCACTATGCTTTTTTTGCACCAAGAACAGTTTTCATTTTGCTTTTCATGTTTTTTTCCTGTCGTTCCTTAAGACTTAAATGTAAATAAATACTCTTTTTGCATGTGAATGCATATCAGCACATTGCTACATTTATATCACTGCAACAAAAAAAAAAAGAGTTTAGAGAAAAAGAGTTTCTGTTTAGCAATTTGATTTATTGCAAATATTTTGTAGTGCTTAAAGGGATTGTTCACCCAAAAATGAAAATTAGCCCATAAAACATCGGAGTTAGGCCTATATAAAAAAATGTCCTGGCTCTTCCAAACTTTATAATGGGAGTCAATGGGTCTATTTTTTGGGGAGTCCATCAAAGTGCATCCATCCTTGATAAAAGTGCTTGAAGTCAGCAAGGGTTACTCTTTTGGCGTCGACTTGCGTATCGTCGTCTGCCGGAAGCTAGTTATTTTAGTCGATAAAGTTTTAAATATGGATTTTTTCCTTACGAACGCATCGTTATTAACCCGCCAGAGCCGTGTGGAGCACTTTTATAATGGATGGATGCGCTTTGATGGACTTCCAAAAAAATACACCCATTGACTCACTTTATAAAGCTTGGAAGAGCCAGGACATTTTTTAATACAACTCCGATTGTATTCGAAAGAAGTATGTCATATACACCTTGGCTTCAGGGTGAGTAAATCATGGGCTAATTTTCATTTGGTGAACTATCCCTTTAAGCAAAATATAAAGTATTGTTTTCTGGAAAAAAATATATTAAAATGTTTAAGGCTTAAAACAAGAAAAATATCTAAAAAAAGAAAAGAAAAAAGTCTTATGCCATTTTGCTTCCGTAGTAAATGTATCTTGATTTCAGCATGTTTAGATATTTCTGGAAAACAAGAGACAAGTAAAACTGTATTCCCCATATGGGCCCTTTGGGCAGTTCGGTGTTATTTTAATATCAATGTTAAATACTTAAAAAAAAAAAAAAAAAAACATCTTTTTAATTAATATACTTCAGTTCAGTTGAGTCTTAAACACACTAAATTCATCCTCAGTTGCAGCAGGCAGGTTTTTTTGTCTCAGGTGTCTCTTTTTTAATGGGGGCCCCAACGACTAACCCGTGCCAGTCATCTCGGGTGGGTATTTTTCCTTTCAGGAAGAGTTGATATATACCCCTGGCCAAGGTCTCAAACGATTCGCTGACGTTAATATTCTCCTTTGTAGACACTTCAAGATAAGCCACCATGTTGAGTTTTTTAGCCAGCGCTTCTCCTTCACTCTTCCTGACCTGTCGTCCCACGGCCAGGTCACACTTATGACCCACAAGCAAGAATAACATGGGGTTTGGTTTCACATAGTCCAGGACTTCCTGATGCCAGCTGCAAACACGATCAAACGTCTGTCGCTGTGAGACGTCGAACATCAGAATGCAGCCCACAGAATTCCTCATGTACGACTTACAGATGGACCTGCAGCAAACAATGACATAAGTCATTTATGTTGTTTAGTTTTTTCAGCTGAGCAACTCTTAAAATGTACAGAAGACACTTAGTAGTTCACTTGAACCCAGGGAAATATTTTTCGGTACGCGTGTTTATTTTTTTTATAGTTCAGTTTCCACATCGACACACTTTAAATTCTTCACTACAACAAACTATTGAACTTTTTCAGTTATTTGTTGAAAAAAAAAAAAAAAAGATATAGATAATTTAACCATGTAAAGCCTAACCTGAATAATAGTTATATATTTTTTTAATGAAACCATTTATTGAAACTTTTTTTTGAAACCAAAAAATGTTGGCAACGTAACACAGTCTCATCCCAAAAAGTCATATAACTGACGTTTTGGGACATATTTTGACCATACGTCAACATTCGCCTTTTTAGGGCCCCCTTAAACGTCGGTAGATGGCAATCCCGGGCCGTCATACAACTGACGCTTTACCTTTAACGTCAGTTAGGTGACGGGTTAGGTTTAGGTATGGGGTAGAGTTAGGATCCCATAACCTCATCTACCGACGTTTAAGGGGGCCCTAAAAAGGCGAATTTTTTGCTCTGATAAAAATATAATGACAGACATGTTACAGTGGCAGCTGCAGAAAGAATAAAATATAATATAAGTAAGGTATAATGTACATCCAGCCGGTTGTTATCTCAGAATAAACCCCTGACAGGGTGATGAGGCCATGCATCAGCCTGAAGGGGGTTTATTCTCAAAATAACTCAATAATTAATTTGTTTGAGTTGAACAAACTTAATTAGTTCAGTCAAATTAACTTTTATGAGTATTTAGCACTTTCCTTTTCACAGAAAACTGACATATTTAAGTAAACTGAACTGTTCAATTGTTTCGAGTTTTATGAAATTATTTATTTTAATTTGATGAACTTAAAGGATTAGTTCACTTTTGAAAAAACTTTTGCTGATAACCCATGTCATCCAAGATGTCCATGTCTTTCTTTCCTCAGTCGAAAAGAAATTAAGGTTTTTGATGAAAACATTCCAGGATTTTTCTCCATATAATGGACTTACATGGGAACCAGACGGTCCAGGGTCCAAAAGACAGTTAATAACAGTTTCAGATGCAGCTTCAAATGTCTTTAAACGACACCAGACGATGAATAAGGGTCTTATCATGCGAAACGATCGGTTATTTCAAAACTTATTCCAAAAATGTAACTTTTCTAAGGACAAATGCTAGCCTTGCTCTATTCTGTGAGGCGCGTTTGTAACGTCACGTAATACGTAATTACGTTCAAAAGGTCACGGGCGACGTAGCCAGAACTACAGAGTCAGAGTGTTTACAAGTTGAACGCATATAGGTTGAACGTGCAAACTATCTCAAACGCCGTTTACAAAAAAGGAATAAAAAGGTAAAACAACGATGTCGGACGATTTTGATTCTGTACTTCTGGCTACGTCGCCCGTGACCTTTTGAACGTAATTACATATTACGTGAAGTTACAAACGCGCCTCACAGAATAGAGCAAGGCTAGCATTTGTCCTTAGAAAAGTTACATTTTTGGAATAAGCTTTGAAATAACCGATCGTTTTGCATGATAAGACCCTTATTCATCGTCTGGTGTCGTTTAAAGACATTTGAAGCTGCATCTGAAACTGTTATTAACTGTCTTTTGGACCTTGGACCGTCTGGTTCCCATTAAAGTCCATTATATGGAGAAAAATCCTGAAATGTTTTCATCAAAAACCTTAACATCTTGGATGACATGGGGGTGAGTAAATTATCAGCAAAAGTTTTTTCAAAAGTGAACTAATCCTTTAAGTTTAACTGATTTCTATTTCCCAGCATGCTTTGCCCATGATGCTCGAAAGGAGGAGTAAATGCTAAAATTAATGTCTAATAAAATTTTTGTTTTTTTGTGCAAGAATAGTGTTAAGTGGGAGATTTTACTGATATTTTGTTATGGTACTCTAGAAGAATTTCTTATATGAGCAATATTCAGGTTATTGCCGGTGTTTACATGGCCGCTCGCAACCGGGTTATTGCTAATATCCCGGTTTTGAACGGGTTATTGGCTGCATGTAAACGTAGTCATTGAGGTTACATGAAAATATGAAGTTAAATGTATGTAATAGTGTACTCATTCATTTTACTTGTTCTTAACTTGAAATGTTTGAGTATTATACTTAAACTTGGAATTTTTAAATTTAGGCAACTTAATTTTTTTTTAAGCTTTTCCAACTTATTCGGGTTTACAGTGAGCAAATGTACAGCACTGCTGACTTCTGGGAATAACATACCGCTGGATGGTGCAATTGACCAATCAGAATCAAGTATTCCACAGAGAGAGCCAATAACTTATAAATAAACTGAATCAATGAATGTAGCATATACTGTACATTGGTTTTTATTTAAGGAAACACTGAAAGGAAACAAAAGTATTAAACTAATTGTGGCCAATAGAAAAGTTTATTATAAAATATATTGACAACATATTAAAATTGTGACACAACTTGCCCAACCTGACATTCATGAGAAATACCTGCCAGGTTCATAGTTATGTACAGTGTGTTTTGATTTAGTTAAATTCTGTTTCCCTGTCATGATTTGATCTGGTTTCCTAGTTTGTTAGGAAAGAGGTTTCGCATAAACTTGAAACATGTCATGAAAAAAAGAAAATTGAATTAGTGAGCAGAATAAGAACAAAAAGCACAGAGTACCATCAGTTGAAACTATTCCTGTATAATATCGGGTACGTTTAGTTGACAAAAACTCACCTAAATCTTTCCTGGCCCGCAGTGTCCCACAGAAGAAGTTTGACCACAACATTAGGATCGAAGTTCATGTTATGCACCTTAAAATCAATTCCTAGAGGAGACTGAGAAGATTCATCAAATGTTCCTTCAGTGAAGCGATGCAGGAGAGAAGATTTCCCTACAGCCGAGTCTCCAAGAATGACTATCCCAAATCTGAAGTTCCACGATGTGGTTTCCTGCATTGTGGATGGTTTTGTTACAATGCGTGTTAGAACTAATGCTAAAACTCAGCTTAAGTCTTCACTATATGCCTTACCCTGTGGTGACTGAGCAAACAGGTTAAAAAGCACAAAGAGGGAGAGGTTTGAAGAATAACAATTACACACCTATTTCACAACAATAGTGGCCTGTGAACATGTGGCATTACAAACTGAAATCTCATTCTGTTGCACAATAAGATACAGAATATCAGTGAGAGAATTTGATATGTACATGGCAAAAAGGATTTTCTTGATAAACATTCTTAAATCAAGAAATCTTTATTTGGAAAGAAAACTGACATGATATTAAGTCTTGCTTTCTGAAAAAAAAATCTTGTTTTCCCTTTGAATTGAGTTTATTTTTTTTTATTATATATTTTTTTCTTGTTTCAAGTTTAAACTCACTAAATTGATACATTTTTTTCTGTTTTGTAGATTTAAAATCTACTTTTTGCCCCAAAAGTACATCATAATATGAAATACAAATTACATTGACTATACACATGATTAAGATGTTTTTAAAGTCAAGTTGAAATCAATATTTTTCTTGTTGGCTGTAAGGCAATAAAAGCACAACGTCAGAGACATTTTTTGAAAATACCTTTATCCTAATAAAGGTGCCATAACATGGAAAATCTAATTTGCGATGATCTTTTGACAAATAAGAGATCTGTTCACCATTAAAACATCCTGCAACTTTAATAGCTTAAATTTTCTCCTCATTACATACAAAAATATATTTACATATGCCTGCATCCAGAGCAAAAACATCAACAAATATTTGACGCTACAAAGTTCAGATCTATTTAACTTTATGCAAAAGAAGAGCGACTTGATGCTGAGTGCTAAATGCTGAGTCTGACTGAGACAAGTTGAACGAGAAGCTCATTTTCGGGACCCCAGATAGATTCGGTATT